AACAAGGCACACAGACAAGATATTTTGCATTAGAATTATTATAATTCTATTGTAAGCTATTATAAAAAGCCTAGTATAAAACTTATTCTCTATTTAGATATCTAGTTAATAGTTTGTATTTTAATTAGTATAATTTCTATTGTTAGTTATTGCAAAAAATTCTACAATGTGTAAACAAAGTTGAGTTAGTTTGCTATGATTTTTATTGTTACAAAAAAAAAAAATTATTATAGAACTTATATACTATTTTGGTAACCAAAGTATGTAGTTGAGTTATTTTGTATCAGAATTATCATGATTATATTGTGAGCTATTGTAAAAATTGGTTCATTCTCTATTCCAGTATCTTCAATATACAGGTTGTATTGGAATAATAATAATTTTTATCATGAGTTATTGTAAAGTTGAGTTAGTTTATATTTATTTTAGTATAAGTTAATAAAAAACTTTGTATATAAAAACTTATATACTACTTTAGTAAAGCAATATAAACTATAGTAAAAGGCAATCTGAATAATCAGTTATATGTGATTATAGTTACAATAATTGTACCCAATTAGATAATTCCAAGTGATCTATAGTTACACTATACAAGCATTATTATTATATATACAAATTTTTATACTGTATATTATTATTATATAACTGTATATATAACTAATAAATAATTATTTTATTAAGTGATTATTATAGAGTTAGAATCTTGTGATCTAGTGGTCTAGGCACCCAACTCTCTACAAATAAGTTTTGGGTTTAAGTCCTAGTAGATACTATACTTACTATAGAAAGTTCAAGTAAATACAGATCTGAATTAGAAATTTTTAGAAGGAGGTTCATTGTAAAGTAGTTAGCACTATATATAATGGTAGTTGTTATAGAAGGTTCTATTATACATAGGTTGTGTATATAAATTCACAATTGGCAAGATAGTACTAACAACCTCTAAGGCAGTATTGGGGATCTGAATAACCGAGTAGTAACCAGAATTAGAAATAGTAAAAAATATAGTGAATATAAAGGGATCTGTAGTAAAGAATTGGCCTTATCAGATTTGAAATACCTCTGGCATATATAGAACTTACTAGCCAATAAGAAGTTAAAACATATAAGCATATATGTATTGATAAATCTAATAGACTCTAGTCATATCTATATAAAAGTTTTTAAATATTAAGAGGATTTAGAACCACCAATACAGATATAGCTAGTATAGCTAGTATAAGTAAATACAGTAATAACTGGAGCTACAATTGCTGAAAATCATCATAAATAGAAAACTATAATGTATCTGTTAAGAACCTCTAGGCTTTATGATGCTATCCAACTATATCTAGTACTGAAAACAGATATAAAATATGCCTAAACAGCCTCATTACCTTATTAGAAAATACAGTTATTTGCACAATACTAAATTCAAAACATTAAGATGTCAGTTTCAAAATCGCAAGAAACTAGCTAGTTATGATAGCATGCAGGCTTGAGATACTTCCCAATTGGGTAGAAGCAACTATATGACTTGAAATATAAACTCTTAGAAGTATACTAGTTAGAACCAGACATACCAAACTAAAAGCAATAAATGCTTATCTGGTATATACCAATTTGGGAGTTAAGATATTAAGTAATGTAGATAAAGTAGCAAATATATGAATACTAATTAGCAGTTAAAAAGAATGTATAAATCCAGATCAATCACATATGTAAAAGTGTTAACAGCTCTGGTGGGTTTTAGCTATGGATAAATAAAATAGTCTTAGATCTAAAGTCTTAGTTCTAGTTCTAATATGTAATATGTATATATACTCCCCTGACAGAGATCACCAGAATTTTTTTTTTCCGATATGACAATCATTTTTTTTATACATGTTTTAATTACGATTTCTCAACAACATATTTATTAATTTTAGCCAGATTTTTTTTATTTAATAATTATATAAACAAATTTTTATTTACAAAAATTAATACTGTATAGAGTATCCCAAAGTATAAATTATAGCAAGTATATGTTGGGGTATACTTTTTACAAGATTTTCAAAAACCCAACCATCTAAATTATATTATTTTTTTTGCAGCAAATCAAAAAGTTCTAACTCCTACTTGGCAAAGGAATGTATTTACGGATGTGATACTCCAATTCATCCTATAGATACTCTATAGGGTTGAGATTGGGGCTTTGTGAGGGCCAGGAAAGTGAAATAACAAAATTTTTTGCTATAAATTTTCTTGTATAAGCTGTCATATGAATTTTTGTATTATTGTCTTGAAAAAAAAAGTTTTTTTTTCCAGTTATGTTTTCTAAACCTTCTAAATAAGGTAATAAACAATTATTAAGAATGTCATTATAGTCTTTCGCATTCATTGTTCTATAAACCTGAATCAAAGATCCTACACTATATATGCTAAAACACCCCAAACTATTATACCTCTTTTTTCTGACTTAAATGTTGGAACTAAACAATCTATATCATATTTTTCTTTGGGTTTTCTCCACACATAAGTACACACATCCCCACCAAACACTTCAAACCTTGATTTGTCACTCTAAATAATATTTTTTCACCTTTTGTTTTAATGTTTTCTACTTTCAGCCTACTGCAAACAAGCTATATGATTACTTTTATCCACAAATGGTTTTGTTTTATCTTTTCAACTCAGCTAAAATAGCCTATTTCATGAAGGTGGTGTTGGACAGTATGTATGGACACGTTTATAAGCGTTAATTTAACAAATTTATTTGTTAAAACATTTAAGCTAGCCTTTCTATCCTGCTTTAATAGGCAAACGAGGTAATGAAAACCATGTTCAGTTATTTTAGAGATCCCACCAGGATGAAGAGATGGTTTTGTTTCTCTAGTTTTTTTGTAATAGGTAATAACATCATAGACGGTACTCTGGAAAAATTCTAAGGCTTTTACGATCCTAATTGCCTTCATATCGCACTTCTACGCACCAATGATTTGGTTGCGTTGTATTTCAGTAAGTTCTTTTTTTTGCTTTATTTAAAAAAAAAAAAAAAATTGTAAAAAAAAAAAATATATATTCAAATAAACTAGCTTTTGAGAAAGCTATAAAAAAATTTTTGTGGCCATATAAAATTGTTTTAGACAAAAAAAAAATTTTGTAAATAGTACATCATAGTTGTTGATCATCTATAAATTAGGAAATTCCGGTAATCCCTGTCAGGGGAGTGTATTTTGGCACTACTATATGTCAACTTGCTAAGTATTAATAAAAGTCCGGGGTAGCTAATATTAAAAAAAAAAAAAATTAAGTGATTATTATATAATAAACTAGCCAATCATATTATTTAAAAAAATTCACTATAGGTTTGATTTTTAGCCAACATTACAGCATTATCCTTCCAAATCCATCCAGCTATCTGAAACGTTCTAGTGAACAACACTGGTTGCTAGGTATAGCTCCACATGTTGGAGAAATGTGGTAACTTTAATACGTACCATATTAAAAAATATTTTTAATTTATCAGAAAGGCCAAAAAGAGCAAATTTTAAATTATACGTAAAAACGGATAAATAAAAATATAATTACAAATTCACACATATAGAATTACTTCAATATTTGATATCTCTAAATATTATATCAGATATATTTTAGATATTATCTTTGTACTATATACCAAAACTTTTTAAACAATTCTGTACATAGAGGTAATATTTATTGCAAATACTTACAGTACTGTACATGATTATTGTAAGTCTTTACACAAAAGTAAAGACTAGTTTACTAAAATCCGTTTTTTGAGCTTTGAAAATTTTTATATTCATAAACTAATAACTGTTTAACTTTCTCTTAAAATTTATATATACTTCAGGTTCCAATCAGTATGTTCTGAGCTCTCTAAGTAAAAGAATCACCTGATTAATAAAAGCTTTACAAGTTGATTAGCGTAGTTTTTTTTTTTAATAACAATTTAAATCCACTCATTTGACAAATCGAGTGTCGACGTACGTATGTACGTACATACGTACAACGTATATATAAATATTTTAACCGGGTAACACAATCTTTAAAATCTGGGGCAATTTCTCTTTTGGATTGTGAAACAATGATCTAACAATTCCAACAATAATCCCTGCTAATCATAAAGTATATAGATATAACTTGTCATATCAAGTCAATAATCTCTCTAATTAAGTTATATATTACTATCTTGTTTGTCCATGGACAATTGCATCTATTGACAACACTGAATCAAAATTTTATAGGACTATCACTTTTATGTATCTGTGTACAGATAAATATATATACTTAGAATAATCCGCTTAAGTTTTATACGTAGTTAAAACGTGGCTAAGTAAATAACGATAATCTACTATTGTCAAAGCAGATACGATCAGTGTTAAAAATTTGGTTTGATAGTCGCACCCCTCTAAGTGCACATTCCCTAATGCAGGTATATGCTTTTGGTCCCGCACATTACTATGGTCCCGAGGGCGTGCACTTAGAGGGGAGCAAAAATTAACAATTACTTTGCAGTATTGTATAAAATATTTTTTGTTATTCCTAGGGATTGGGCCCGAGTAGAAATTGCTATATGATTATCCGTAATTTACCCGGATAACCCGGGTAATTTAATAATAACCGGGGTAGGGATTTCTCAACGGGCCATCATGTGACAGGTTTCCCGGGCTAACATATACAAATTTATGTTCAAATTTGTATAGAAATGTACCTTCGCGTGTAATAGATAATTATAAATTACCCCATTCTGATAAAGATCATTATCGTAATATTGTTCGAATGTTTAACTTGGGGAACCTTGTTAGACAAACCCCTTAATTGGATTTTGTACTTCCATCTCCAGTATGACAATTTTTTCGTCTTGATAATGACCATCTCGTCTTTTCTTGGGCTTTTCGTTCGCTTTATTTTTTCCGAAACAGTGAACGCTATTTTACGACTATTTTCCTTTTACGTCCTTTTATTGACGCTATATGTTCATTTTTAATTTATAATTTTCAATATTGAGCATCTCAAGTATGTCGTCCTCGGAAGTAGACCATTTGGTCTCGGAAAACATTAAAGAGCACCATGGAGAAATCATTTACGATGCTAATGGATTCATTAAAAAGATTTATCGAAAAGATAGCCAATTAAACAGAAAAATTGTTGATAGTTATATAGGCATGTATAAAGAGGATCAAGAAGATATTTCTAATAAAGGGGATAACGTCCAAAAAAGACGCGAAAATGCCCAGACTATGACGAACGCGTTCTATGATATTGTTACCGATTTTTATGAATATGGCATGTATAATTTATTATAATCTGAAGACTAAACATATTTTTAGATATCAGAAAAAGATAATGAAAATTATTTTTTTCTATAGGATGGGGTGAATCGTTTCATTTTGCTCGGGCTTATAAAGGAGATACATTTGAACAATCCATCAAACGTCACGAACAATATTTAGCCGTGAAGCTTGGATTAAATGAAAAACAAAGAGCTCTTGTAAGAATTATGTATGACTTAACATATCAATTATATATTTTTACAATGATATTAATAAACTACCACCTTATGTGATTAGGATGTTGGATGTGGTGTCGGGGGACCCCTTCGCGAAATAGTGAGATTATCAGGTGCACACATTACTGGCCTTAATAATAATGGCTATCAAGTCGAAAGATGTAAAGCCTATGCTAAAAAATTAGGCTTAGAAAACAAGAGCGATTATATCAAAGTAAATAATTATAATTGATTTGTAATTCGACAATAAAATTAAAAAAAATTTTTTTAGGGTGATTTTACTGCCATTCCACGTGAGCTATATGGTAAATTTGATTCGGCTTATGCGGTCGAAGCAACTGTTCATTCACCTAAACTTGAAATGGTTTATGGCGAAGTATTTCGTGCTCTTAAACCCGGTGGTCTTTTCGCTACTTACGAATGGGTTACCACACCAAACTTTGACGAAAACAATCCTGAACATAAACGCATCATTCACGGTATTGAGGTTGGTGCAAAATATTTGATCTTATTTAGACATTATATTACATTTATATTGCATGCATTTTCTTATGTTTTTGAATTTAAACATAGGAAGGTAATTCTATCCCTTCTTTGAGTTCTTATAAACAAGCAATTGATGCGGCTAAACATGTTGGTTTCGAATTGATTGAACATGAGGATAGGGCCATCTTATCTGAATGTCATGTACCTTGGTACATGACTTTAAAGGGTGGTTTCTCTTTTTCAGGATTCAGAATGACTCGCATAGGCAGATGGTATGCTAAAAAAAAAAAGCAACATATATATAATATACATATAATTTATGTCTAATTATTTCTGTTAATTAATTATCCAATTACCAGGACTACTCATAAATTTGTTTATCTTCTTGAATGTCTTCGCATCGCTGCACCTGGTTCAACTGATGTGGCCTGCTTCCTCAATAAAACAGCAGATGCTCTGGTTGAAGGTGGAGAAACAGAAATTTTCACCCCGATGTTCTTTATGCTACTTAAAAAGCCTACAACAGCTTAATGACAAAACTATGCTACATATATCAATTGTCGCATGGCAAAAAAAAACTTCTCGTACCACTTCTAATTTTTGAATTCTTAAACAAATTTAGTTATTTAGGTCAATTTGTTTGTCGGTTATATTTATCACATAATGTTTCCTTTAATTCACTTATCATCGACCTTCTCTTTAATCATACAGACTTAAGCTCGTTGATATTTATTTATTTAATAGTGCTTTTGTTATCACACTGCTTAACTAACTATTATGACAACAATTGTGTAACTTGGTCAACCCACTAAAGATGAGTCCATGTAAAATTTTAGTGTAATTGAATTTGAACTTTAGAATGTATTATAGATTTTGAATATTGCAAAACTTGAATTTTTTTATTATGAATTTTGAATCATTACTTCGAGTTTGACAAAAATAATATTTTTGTCTGTTTGTTTATTCATTTATTTTTTTCTTGTTTGCTTATTTATTTACTTTATTTATTGTTTTATTAATGACTGTCAAAATATGGATATCTGTGATATGGATTTATTAATCCGATATTGACGTCATTTTTTGATTTTATCCGAATCATTAACAACTCCTTTAATACAAATGAGTGCTGCACAAGAAATACAAAGTTATCACTATGACGAACTTAACCCTAGAAGAATTGTCATTTAAGTAAATGACAAACAACCATAATAAATAAGTGGCACATAATATACGTATAAATACCGACATTGTTGTGTGAATTAATCCTATTTAATACGTTATATTGCAATTATGTATTAATTACAATAACGAAAAAAGGTCTTATATAAAGTGTTATATAGCGAACCGAAGAATTTATAAGTTTGATTTGTATATAATTTTATTAAAAATGATTAACACTTTAAAAATAAATAATATATAAATTTTTTAGTAACAAACCACCAATTTTTAGCTAAGTCAGTAACTTTACTATATGTTTACTAAAAATAAGTTTAAATAAATAGATTTTTACAATATACAGTATGTTTTTTATACTACCATAAATCTAGTATACAGTAATTTTAAAAGAATTATTTATAAGACCATATAAAGTTAATTGTTTCTTATAACCCGGCCGGGTCAGCTTTTGTAAATTTTCGATACAAAATTTTATATTTACTTTTGGGTGGTTTTAATAAAAAATTTTTATACTCTAGACAAAGAAAAAATTTATAAAATTTTTATGATTTAAAAATTAAAGCCAGGCGGGCGGATCACTTTTAGAATTCTATGTTATGAGAAACAATCTATTAACTCATCAATACATGATTTTATTATCAATACCAATCTTAATCTTTCTTTTGCTTTCAATTCCCTACCATCTCAACTATACTCCTGTTCTCTTAATTCTACACTTAAAGGTCTCATACCTATTTCTTTAATTCAATCTCTAGATCTTTTCAAAATCTCATACTCTAATGCTTTTCAACTTATTATTCAGCTACTTCTTAAAATCTCTAACCAACTTTATAATCATATCTGGATTCTATACTGTACCAATTTTTTTAACTGAAAAAAATCTTGCCAAATTTCTTTTTATTCTAACTATAATATTTCATCCCAATTTTCTTCATGGCCAACCAATAGAAGAAACAAAATTAACTATACTTATAGTTATTCTTGCAGCTCTACTAATCAATTACACTCCAAACTTAATACTCATCTTCCTTTAGGACAAGCTACTCTTAAATTTAATATTTGGTCTACTATATGAATTAAATATAGCACAAATATTAACCATATTCTAACAATTCAAACCTAGGTAAGTCTTGACCACTCTAGTAGGTTTAGATCACAAATAATTAGTTTGAGCTTTTAGTTTAAGCTTTTAGTCTGAGCTTTTATTCTTGAA